GATTAAAACAACAACAACAAAAACTGCCTTCAATTTCTACCTTATCCATTATACTCAGAGCCTGAAAAGTATAAACAAACACTCAACCAAGCCAAAGAGTATTACTTATCTCAGTGGTTATAGGGTGGTGCCCAGGTTAGGAGCATAAATATCACCTGGGGTATTCTCATATATATAAATTCTCACTCCCCAACCAGATCGTCTGAATCAAAATCTGAGACTGGTAAAGGGTAATTTGTTTCACCAGGTGATTCTGATGCACAGTAAAATTTGACTTTATAGACCAGTAGCTTCCAAACTGCTCTCCATAAAACCTTTGACAGGACACCTCAATCAGTCAAAGCAGACAGGGAAAGATCAGTGAGGTGTCTAGGATACAAAATTTAAGAAGGCACTCACTCACTCTCAGTGTCTTACAAGTACTGCACAACCTTGAGAGTGATTAAATTTTGTCCCCTTGATCCAACCCTGTAATTAGTAATTAAATGATTGAGTGTAAGTGTCACCTACTTTCCTTATCCTCTTTTATAAAGACCAACTAAAATGCCTAAAAAGATGCACATGAGGCCTTGGCCGGTTTTGCTCAGCGGTTAGAGCGTCGGCCTGCGGTCCTGAGAGATCCGGGTTCGGTTCCCGCTAAGGGCACGTACCTCGGTTGCAGTTTGTCCCCGGCCCTGGTCGGTTGTGCGGGTGGCAGCCACTTGATGTGTCCCTTTCACATCGATGTTTCTCTCTCTCTCTCTGTTCCTCTCTCTCCCTCCCACTCTACCTGAGCAAAAAATGGAAAAATGTCCTCGGGTGAGGATTAAAAAAAAAAAAAAAAAAAAGATGCACATGAGAAAAGATAAAAGAAAAAATAAGTATAAGCAACTCTCAAACTGCACAATCAGACACTGAATAATTAGGACTTGGCTATATGATATATTATTTCCCACTCCAAGTAATATATTATGCAGTGAAGATTGTTAAACACTAAAAATACTAGCTATGGCAACCTCAGAAGTATTGTGGAAATTTAATTGATATGTATTACTTTTTCAACATGAAATCTTCATACATATATTTTTTTGGTTAATCTTCAAGGACTTTTTTTTTCCCCCAATGATTTTTAACAGAGAGTGGAAGGGAGGGAAGGAGGGTAGGAGAGAGAGAAACATTGCTGTGAGAGACACAGTGATTGGTTGCCACCTGAATGCAACCCAACGGGGATCAGGGATTGAACTTGCAACCCTTTGGGACTCAGGCTGATGCTATAACCACTGAGCCAAACCAGCCAGGGCACTTCATATATTTTTTATAATAAAGTTCTGAAATTTTAAAATATAAGAATTAGAATATCTGCAATTTGCAAGGGCAAGTACCTAGGTTGCCTGGTTGGGGTCATGCGGGAGGCAACCAGTAGATGTGTCTCTCTCACATGAATTTTTCTCTCTCTCCCTTCCACGCTCTCTAAAAATAAATTGAGAAATATATCATTAGGTGAGTATTAACAACAACAACAACAACAACAAAAGAATAGAGGCCCTGGCCAATTTGGCTCAGCGGTTAGAGCGTCGGCTTGGGGTCCAGAGAGACCCGGGTTCGGTTCCCGCTAAGGGCACATACCTCGGTTGCAGTTTGTCCCCGGCCCTGGTCGGTTGTGCGGGTGGCAGCCACTCGATGTGTCCCTTTCACGTCGATGTTTCTCTCTCTCTCTCTCCCTCTCTCTCCTTCCCACTCTGTCTGAACAAAAAATGGAAAAATGTCCTCGGGTGAGGATTTAAAAAAAAAGAATAGAGTTATCATATAACCCAGCAATCCCTCTCCTGAGAATCTACCCAAAAGATATGAAAACATTTATTTGTAAGATATATGAACCCCTATGTGCACTGCAGCATTATTCACGGTGGCCAAGACATGGGAATAACTGAAGTGTCCCTCAACAGATGATTGGATAAAGATGTGGTACATATATACAATGGAATAGTACTCAGCCATAAGAAAAGATAAAAAAACTGCCATTTGTGACAACATGGATGGATCTGAAAAATATCATGCTAAGGGAAATAAGTCAGAAAAGTTAAGAACCATATGATTTCACTCATTTGTGGGATATAAAACTGAAAGCAATAAATGAACAAACAAAAGAAACAAAAACTCATAGGCACAGATAATAGTGTAGTGGTTATCAGAGGGAAGTGGGGGGAAGTGGTAAAGGAGGTCAAATACATGGTGATGGAAGAAGATTTGACTTTAGGTGGTAAATGAACAATGCAATATAAATATCATGTATCATAGAATTGTACACTTGAAGCCGATATCATTTTATTAACCAATGTCATCCAAATAAACTTAATAAAAATTTTTTTAAATAAAAGCAGATAAAGGGATATTAATCTCCCAAGACTTCTGATATGCACAATATCAGTTATTACTTGGTTAAAACATAAGTTTTATACTAAAACAAATAAAATCTGCAAGACATATAACTGATATATTATTAACAATGAGAAGAGATGATATTGTCTGACCTGAAAATATCAAAATTTACTGTAGTTGTGATATGAAAACTGATAAACCATAAAAAAATAAAATAAAAAAAAAAGAGTAGTGGCTTCCACCCAGCTTTACGCAAACTATGAAAACCTTCCTTTAAATACAACTTTGAAAAATGTCCAAAAAATAAACACAATCAGAGATATTCTTATTTAAAAGTAAGGATGAGACAGCGTCTTTCTCTGTATTACTCTTCCACTGACTGCTTCCTATAATGCCATTCTTTTCCATACCTGTCTCCCTGCAAATGCCCCCTCCTCCAAACAAACACAGAGCAGTCCTTGAAGAACTACCAGAGAAACACTTTAAAAAGGTAAAACCAAAATGATAAAATCATTTTATCTAGAGCAAGAAAAAATTATTGTTTTCAAATGTTCAGCATGTAGAAAGTTACCATAATAAAGTTCATATTCAGTGATAATAAAAGAATAAAGCATATAAACTAAAATTGTCAAAATACACAACATACTGAATACACTAAATACTAAGATATTTAGAAATTAGCTACTTTTTATTTTTTCTCAAGGAATCATGAGTTGCTATGATTGAGAAAAGCAGAAAAATGTCAAGGCAGTGAAATGTTGTTATCCCCAAAACACTATTCCTACTTCCAAGAACAAGATGATTGACTATTCTAACATTACTGACAAGCTTGCTCCCTCCCATCTGGGACAGTAACAGACAGTCAATCAGAGATGTTTGGTATGGCTTCCCATATACTCCTTTCACCTCAAAAAATAAAATCTTATACAACAATAAAAACCTTCTAGAATAGGAAAAGCTTAGCTGATATAGTAGCAGGGACAATATAATTACATAAAGTATTTCACCTAGCCCTCAAATATAAAAACCTCTGATTTTCTTTACTAAATTATATTTTCAAATATTCACTGAATTGTGATCACATTTCACATATAATGTTAAAATAAAATACATTGGCAGGATCTGTTCTATCCACAAACTACATTATTCATATCATAAAGTTTGAAACAGTTTAACAATATAATATTTTATGTGAGTTACTTCAATGTAAACCTCAATTTATTTTAGTTAAATTCTACTAAAAACACACTACTAAAGTTTGCAACCAACCCGAAGTACTATTGCCTTTGTGTTTTTTGCATATTCATGAAGACTAAAAAAATCTAAGAAATTCTACCTAAAGCATTTTAAGAGCCTCAAAGTCTGTTAACAAACTGTATTCTTTAAGAGTTGGGCTGGGCCTTAAATACAGTTGACACCTGAACAACCTGTGTTTGAACTGGAAGGGTCCATTTATAATAACGTAGACTCTTTTCCCCAATAAATATGTATAGCACTGTGAAGTACTTTCTCTTACTCTGATTTTCTTAATAATATTTTATTTTCTATAGCTTACTTTATTGTAGAATCAGTATATAAAACACAGTATATGTGTTAAGCAGCTGTTTATGTTATAGGTAAGGTTCTGGTCAACAGGAGACTATTAATAGTTAAGTTTAGAGCGAGACAAAAGTTATTTATGGATTTCTGACACAGGATGGGTTGGGGTGTCAGTGGCCCTAATGCTCAAGTTGCTCAAGGGTCAAATATATTAACATTTCAGAGTTAACAGAATAGAAAACACATTACCTTTGACTTTTATAATCATCGGTGTATCAAAGAATTCCTCCCCAATTTTAATTACAAAAATAAACTTTACATTCTTATTCAAGATGCCACTTTACCTTTTTCTGAAGACAAACTCTATTTATATGTAAAAAAAACCCCATACTTTGCAAAGTTTGGCTACTGGACAGAACTTAAGAATAAGAGAATAAAACAAAAGTAGCCTAACATTTAGATGTAAAATGCTAGGTCAGAAAAAACAATTTCACTATAATAGGAAAGAAAACCTTAAACACAAATTTAAAAAAGCAATTTCTAAAAAGTTTGAATTCAAAAAAGTAATTTAGTAAATACTGCAATTTACCATTTTGTATGTATGTCTTGTGCTTAAAGCATTTTATTTGTGCCTCTAAAGAGTTTTTTTTTTTAAAGTACAAAATAATACTGAGTTATTGTAACTCTTCTTTTAAAGAATAAGAGATTAACTTAAAGTAGCAGAGCTTTCCTTTAGTTTTTAACACCATTAAACTAGGTAGGAAAAGATTTACAACAAGTCTTATTTTTTTTCAGAAGCATTTCAATAATATTGATAAGCAGTTGATAGTTTGTGATAGTTCATTTAACAATAAAAAATTCTACAGTCAAAATTATGCATTTCAAAGACATTTACCTAAATTTTTATACTTTTAAGATATTTTATTTTTTGTTGTAACTGCAAAAAATGCAGAACAATTTTTCATTACAAATAAATAGTAACAATTAAAGAGTAAAATTATGTTTGGGATATATGATAGAACAAACATGTTAAAATAAATTATAACACATAATAAAGCAGAGGTATAAAATGCCCCCCAAAATATAAAAAAAATTGCACTTACATCCATAGCTCTCTTAATAAATGGTATCTGTGTGCCACTGTCCAGATCTTCATTTATAATAAGCCTTCTAGCCCACTGACCTGCCCTGACAACACCACTACCATGAATTAAAACCATCAGTTTCTGTGGATTTGTCAAAGCATCCTCACTCATAAAGATAAAACTCTTTGGTTCACTCTCAGTGGCATCTACCTGTAATTAAAAAAAGTTAAATAATAAATAAATGTTTTCTGATCAGGCATAAACATAAATGAAAAAATAACTAATGGTTACTATAAACTATAAAATGGTTATTACAGAATTACAGAAGTAAAAAAGTTTAAAATTAAATTAAAATATTCATTAGTGATTAACAATTACATATACAGTGGATGAGTAAAAAAGACATGATAGTAATTTAAATATAAAAATATGAAAAAAGAATATTGGAAATATATGTCTCCCTACATTATTGTTGTATATTAAGTATCATTATATATAAGAATAACTTATTTTTGAATACTTCCTATCGTCTAGATACTATATAAAATGTTTCAAAAATATTATCTCAATAAAAAAATCTATTAAAGTGGTACTATTATACTCATTTATTGATGAAGAAATTGATATCTAGAGAGTTTAAATAACTTGCCCAAGGTAACACAACTATTAAGTCTATAATTCTATAACAGAAGTATACTGTACCTAAAATAGAAAACAGAATGAACCAATTGGAGGATGCACATATTAGAAAATCATATATTACTCAGAAATACCACTAAACTTTTAAAAAATGGGAGAGAGGACTATATGAAAATTCAAAAATCTACTGTTCTATGTAAATGGACGTTAAAGTTTCATTCAGAGTAAGAATACAAGATTATATAACAATTAATTAATGAAGGAATATTATTTGTATACTCTGATAAGCTTATTTTATGTACTAGTTATTTATGGGATGAAACGTAAATATTTTTAAATTTATTTTGATTGTACTTAATATTTAGGTTTTAACTAGATGATGTATAATTTAGATTTAAAAGATGCAAAAGACTTTAGGAAGGGATAACTCCCCAGTCATTTACTGCATGAGCCACGGCATGCACTGAGTAGTATTCCACATCAGCAGTGACAAGCAACTAGGAATAGAAGTCTTTGTGCAGCCTGGTCAGAGACAGAAGCTAAAGTCTTGATGGCTGGTAATACACACATCCTGGAATAGAGAGGGTCAAACCACCTGCTATGTAATGCAATGGTTCTTCACTTCGTCAGTGGTATATATGTCCATAAAATTATCAAAATAAGAAACAGACAAAAACTCTAGGCACCAAAAAATGCTCTGGATTCCAATTACTCCCAGTTCCTATTCCTGGGAAGAGAAAAAAAAATTAAAACTTCTCTTATTCTAAATCAATCAGATTGGTGTCAGTAAAAGATGCTTAGAAATTTGTGTAAACAGAGCACAAAGGGCATTAGTTTAGTCAGAAGAACATGGCCACAGAGCTTAAGAAAAAAATACCACCTTCTGACCATCCCTTTAAATACCACCCCAAGAATTCCCTGGTCCCTTTCTCTCTTTTCTTTTCCTCCATGGCACCTGTCACAATCTAATATAGTATATACTTTACTCTATAAATTTGTCTGTGTAACTGTTTATTAACCTCTGCTCTCTCCACTAGAATATAAGTTTAGGAAGGCATGAACTTATCTATTTGTATCTAGCTACATTCCCAATGCTTAAAAGAGAGGCTGGCACATTGTAGGCACTCAGTAAATAAAGGAATGAATAAACTTTTGGAATAAGATATCTTATCAAGCATTACCAATGACTTCCTTTAGATAAGTTATTTAACTATATGATGAATCCTATAACTGGTTATAACTTGCCTGGTTCAGAAAACATACTAAAATTAATACACAATTATTAAGAATTTTAAAAGAGCTACACAATGCTAAGAAATAAAAGGATATAACTATCTTTATTATTAGTAATTAAGTATGCAGGAAGAGAGATATGAAGTGTAACAGAGTCACATTAGCTTCAACTGCATGAGTTGGCATGAGTAAACAAATTACAATGACAATGGGTATGCCCGAAGTCAGAGAGAAAAGGAAGAGGATGAGAGAAAGTGGAAAACCAAATCCAGGTAATTCCCATTTACCTTAGGACATTGTATGAGAACAGATAAAAGTGACTTTTTAAAAAAGGAAAACAATGGAAAGAAAAAATTAAAAGGCAAAGTTGTCGGTGTATAATCAGAAAGGCCAACAGGTTCCTAGTCATTCATTTACCCAAGAGTACAGTACATCTAAACACACACACATAAAAATGCCTCTGACAGTGAGGCCCCATGAATCCTGAAATGCTATGGAAATGGATATCTGTTTATCTTAATAAAAAATCCTGTAGCTCTGGACTTTCCAGGAGGGGCTGATCACTGTTTCTTTTTCCTATTTGACTAAATCCTGTTACCAAGGAATTTAGTCAATTTTTTAAGCAATGAAATGTTGATAATTTAATTCCACAGTAATCACTTTAAAACTGGAAGAGCACTTATTTTCAGAAGATAAAAATATGTGTTGTTTTTTTTATTATAATGTTCAAAAATTTTTACGGGGCTATAAATTAAGGTAATCATGAATAAGTGAATAAAGTTTTACATCTTGAAATGTTGACTTTAAAAATATGAGAACATTAGAAAATCCAAGGGAACAAAATGAAACTGAATAATGTAATGGTACTAATGATTAAGAAGTAAGGGCAGTGTTTGAGCTGGTTATTGGCTAATACCATATCAATTTAACACAGAACTCTGACTTTGCAGTTGGTAACTATAACTTACTTGTATAAAGTTAATCCTAATTTTCAATAGTAAAATTTCTATATGAATAAAATAAGCTTTTCTTTACTGATTAAAGCTTGGAAATGGCTGTTCTAAGTCCATTTATCTTCATACAATAGTAATTCATTAAGCTGAGCTTTCATTAGGAATACATACATGTAATAAAGGTCATTCAAGTGTACCACTTCACTTCAAATAAATACATAAAAATAGATTATATCAATGAAATGGGAAAGATAGAGAAAGGTAGTCCTTTTAATTGTATTATCATTTCAAAAATGAAGGGAAATCAGAATTTTTTTTTAAGGAAGGTATTAGTGTTTATTTACTTACATATATTTTATTTTTTTCCAATTACAGTTCACATTCAACATTACTGTGCATTAGTTTCAGGCACACAGCCTAGAGGCCAGACAATCATATACCTTACCAAGTGTTCCCTATGTCATTTCAAATACCCACCTAGCACCAACACAGTTATTATAGTGTCACTGGCTATATTCCCCATGCTGTACTTAACATCTCTGTGTCTATTTTGTAGTATACCTCACCTCATTGTATACAATACTTCTGAAGATTATTACTTTTTAAGAACTACTGGGCACAACAAGATTAGGTATACTGACAGTAATTTAATACCATCTTTATCAATATCAAAACACTATGACCTTAACATTTAAACTTATCACAGTTAACCTAAAACAAAGTTTTCTTCTAAAATAAAAACTATTTTATTTGGAAGCATAAACATTTTAAAAAACTGGACTTACTGGAATAGAAATTTTTTTCAAATTACAGTCCTTTTCCAGGAGCTCGTATACATACTTCGTGATGATCTAGATGGGAAAGAAATAACACATTAAGATGCAATTTTGTCCATTATCAAAATCCATGTAAATTAAGATCACTTATTGTTCTGAATGAGTATCTCTCTATTTTGGAATATTTTTATACTAAATTCAGAGACTTCTTATTGATTACTTATAATAGTTTACTTTTTGTTGCTTTTTAAATAACTATGAGTCTTAATATTATGGATGAGGACCAGTTAAAAAAACTCACAAAGACTTCCTATTTTTTAAAGTAATACTCTGTGAGCATATATTCTTTTTTCAGTACTTCTGGAATCTATTTTCCTATAATTTCCCCACAGATATTATATCTAATATAGTACTATCATGACTCTGAATCCTAACACCTCTTATGTAGTCATTGAATCAAGGAGGAAAGGTTGCAGGTATTCTAAACAGAAAAGGAAAACTGATTCATCAAAGTTAGGTAGCAGGTAGTATTACTGTCTGTGGTAGGTAGAACCATGGCTACCCAAAGATGTCCACATTCTAACTCCCAGAGCCTGTTAATATGCTATGTTACATGGTAAAAGAGACTTTGTAGATATGATTAATGTTAAGAACTCAAGATGGAGAAATTATCCTGGATTATCTGAGTGGATCCAACCTAATCATATAAAACCTTAAAAGTAGAAGATAATGGAAAAACGATGTGTCAGAAAGATGCAAAGTGAGAAGGCCCTGATTGACCATGCTGATTTTAAAGATGGAAGGAAACCCAAGGATCCTAGAAGGAAAGGTTGATTCAGGGCCTGGAGCTCAGAAAGTACAAGGTAAGTCAGAAAATAAAATTTTGCACTAAAAAATAAATGTTAAAAGAACACAAAACCTGCTTGATGAGAGCTATCTGGCCAAATCTAGAATAATAATGACATCAATGGATTATATAACTCATTGAATAAAATCTAAGAATAAATGATCCCATAATGATATAAATCAAGTAAAAAGGAAAGGGGAAAATAAAGCTCTTTCTTACAGTAGAATTCCAACTAAGAAATACAGAAGAAATGACGGAGTTAGAAAATCATCAATAGATGCTAAAATTAATAGGTGGAAGTTTAACAAAGAACATAGTCTTAAGTATTTTCCTCCAAATTACTGATAATTAGAAAGAGTAAAAAAAGATTAACTTGCGCTGGCCAGTTTGGCTCAGCAGTTAGAGCTTCGGCCCACAGACCAGAGAGTCGCAGGTTCGGTTCCCGCTAAGGGCGCGTACCTCAGTTGCGGTTCATCCCTGGCCCTAGTCAGGGTCGTGCAGGGAGCAACCAGTCTGTGTGTCTCTCTCACGTTGATGTTTCTTTCTCTCTCTCTTCCTCCTTCTCTCCCTCCCACTCTACCTTAAGATAAATGCAAAAAAATGTCCTCGGATGAGGATAAAAAAACAAAGATTAACTTATGGTATGACCTGGCAGACACCATCAATATTGGAGCAAAACAAAATTGTATACTCTTGATATCATGCATGGAAGACAAAGAACACATTTAAGGTACTTGTCAAAACTCATGAGCTAAATCTACTTATGAGAATACATATGACAAACTTAAATTGAGGGTCATTCTATAAATGTCCTATACTTCAAAAAATGTCAATACCAAGAAACACTTAAAAAGGCTAAGAAATGGTTCCGCATTAAAGGAGAATAAAGAGACATGACAACTAAATGCAAAGTGTGTACTAGATTTAATCCTGGACTTGAGAAATATCAGCTATTAAGTACATTATGTGACAGTAAAATTTAAACATGGCTTGTGGATTGATAATATTGAATCAATATAAAATTTCCCAACTCTGATAACTATACTGCAATTATGAAGAGAATATTCTTAGGAAATATACACCAATGTATTAGAGGTAAAAGGGCATAAAGTTTCCAACTTGACTCTCAAATGGTTCAGAAAAAATTATATAAGTAATATATATAATACATATGATCAACTTTTCTGTGTGAAATTATATCAAAACAAAGTGTTATTTCAGAATTTCCCATACTGTACATATTCCTAGCTCAGGTGCTACTGACACTGCATGTATTTCCACAAGTATTTCAATGGAAATGTGGCAAAAGACAAACAGGATAACAATATTTGCTTTAATCAAAACATTTTAATTTCTTGAAATATTACAAGACCACAGCTATACTTGAGGATAATTTTCATCCATATTGCTTGCCAAAAGCAAAGACTCACTGGGGTCCTACAGTTTGCCATGTTTGTACCTATGTTCATCCCCCACCTAAAATTCTCTTAACTTTTCCCATTTTTCTCCAATTTTTCAAAAAGCAATTCAGCCCGGCCAGTGTGGCTCAGTGGTTGAGCGTTGACCCATGCACCAAGAGGTTGCCAGTTCAATTACTGGTCAGGGCACATGCCCAGGTTGTGGGCCAAATCCCCAGTGGGAGGCATGCAGGAGGCGGCCATTTGATGTTCTCTCTCATCAGTGTTTCTATCTCTCTCCCTCTCCCTTCCTCTCTCTAAAATCAATAAAAAAAAAAAAAAAAAATTCTAAAAGCAATTCAAATGCCACCTCCTACCTGAAATTTTCACTGATCCTGCCAATAATGTTGCCTTTCTTATGACATTTAGCACTCCACAGTGGCTACCTCACATTCTCATTTGCCCACTAAAGTGAGCCCTTTATAAATAAGAATTACATATATCCTACTTTACTGTAACATCAACCACACCATAGATGCACAATACGAGAGAACGAGTGAATAAAAAATAATTGGTAGTGTTTGCTAACATCATTTTTCAGTTTATAAAAAAAAAAAAAGCAATATATTTAAAAATATTTTTTAAATGTGTTTATTAACTCTTAGAAAGCGAGGAAGAGAGAGGGAGAGAGAAATAGAAACATCAATGAGAAAGAAACATTGATTGGCTACCTACTGCATGCCCCCTTACTGAGGATCAACCCCACAACATGGGCATGTGCCCTGACCAGGAATCAAACCAGCAACCCACGGGATTATGCCTAACCACTGAGCAACACCGGTTGGGCCATTTAAAAATATTTTAAAAGTGAATTTATGTATCAAAAATAAATTCACTAGACTTAAGCATGAAAACACAATAGACATTGAAAAGTCTCACTCCCGCCCCTGTCCTCCTCTACTGGATGCCTCCCTTGCTCTGACCCCTACTGGTAATCTTACTAATTTCTTATGCATCCTCCAGTGTTGCTTAGTGCCAGGATGAGCAAATAAAAATGTATCATTTCCTTCTCTTTCTTAAAAAAGACAGCATACTATACATACTGTGTTACACAATGTATTCTTATCTTCTTTCTTATAGCAGACTTAATACACTGTGTTACTTTATCATCTAAAAATTTAAACTGATTTTCTACCCGCTCAGTAATAGAGACCTTTTTTATTCTTCTTCACTAGTCATAGTATTCCATTGTGTGGATGTACCACAGTTTAGTAAAAATTTTAAAAATATGTAATGATTCACAAAAAAATATTCACTAAGAAAAGCATACATAACCTTAAGCATTGTTTATAAAATCTTATGCAAATTAAATTTACATTTATTACCTTGGTACTTAGAAATCATTTAACATTTTTCCACCCTGTAAATTACCTAATTATTTAAAAAGAAAACCACCTTTCTCTCATATGACCCATTTATCTACTCTACGTTTCATCCTAGCTTCCTCCTGGAAAGGGATAGAGGGAGAGTAGAAAAGGAGGAGGAAAGATGGAGGGAAGGAGAGACACAGGAAAAAAAGAAGAGAAAATTTCTTAATAATTAAGGTTTAATATTATTCGATAATATCAGTTTGGCTAAACCTAAAAGGGCTCCTCTAGCATCTTTACATTAAACAGACTATGATATGAATGGCAATGAGTCATCTAATTAGAACTAAAGAACATTTACCCTGGGTGTGTATCCTCCTAAGTCAGAACTACGTCTTAAATTTCACTAAAATCATCTTCATCTCATCCCTATTTTTCCCCTTAAAATCTTTTATACTTCATTCTTAGTGGGTACATTCTAAATTTAAAAAAAAAAAAAAAGTCTTTTGAAGTAACTGCTTTTTCAGCATATCTTTGAAATAAAATTCATTCCTCCAACTTTCCATTAGCATTCCCTGGAGTGCGAGTCTATATCCCCAGCTGTCCTTCATTTATATCAGCTTCAGATCACCAGCTCACACATTTTTCTTTTACCTGCTCTAACAATGAGTCCTCCTTTAAGCCATCCTTTCTTCCAAAAACCAGATTATTACATAGCTTACCAGAAACACAGACTTATAAATGTGTCCTGCTAACTACAGATAGCTCCTTGTAGTGATTTCACAGGCACTTCAAATTCAGTATGTTCAAACTGAATCCATCTACACAAGTCCAAACCTATTTCTCCTCCAGTGTGTTCATCAGCTCCATAAATGGCACTACTACCCACTTAACTGCTCAAGCCACAAGCCTAAATATCATGATCCTTGTCCTTCCATCCCTTAAAATCAATCATCAAGTCCCTCAAACACTGGAAGTTCTCCAGATCTCCCCATCTCTACTATCACCATTCTAGATCACTGCAGTCTATCAACAGATCTTTTTGGATTGTTTCTGAAGCCTCCTTGTGTTATATCTATTACAGCAGACTTTCCTTCAGATCGTATCTCCTGTTAGCAGACATATAACTACTTTAAAAATGCAAATCTAACAGCTTCCCAGTACTTTAAGTAAGAATACGGCTCCAGTCCTTAAATCTAGCAAGACCCTACCAGATCAGACCCCTGCCTACTTCTCAAATTTCATTCTATACCTCTCTTTCCTCATACTCTGTATTGGGTAATCACAATGACTTTCTTTTAAATTCTCAGATGCAAAAGGATCTTTATCACCTCACAGCCTTTGCAAATTATGTTGCTTTGCCTGGAATGCTGGCCCATTCTTTAATTTTTTTTTAATCTTCACTCGAGGATATTTTTACCTGTATCTTCAGACAGAGTGGGAGGAAGGGAGAGAGAGAGAGAG